TCATCAAAAATATAAAAATATACATTACAGAAGCTAAACTTCTGTCTGGTGCCTGCAAAACCTAAAGGAAACATTGACACTAAGGGCTTCTCTGCCCTGATGAGTTAGAGACACCCTGTCTAAAATGTAACCTGTTCTTCCTTTCAGTGCTTACAGAGAAGCCATATATGAATACCGCATGATCAGCAGTTGGCTCCTACTGTGAGCACATATGAATAAACACATGTTCACAGCCTGGCTATTAGTGGTTAAACATTACTGTGGAATGACGCTGAGTTTTTAATGAAAGTGCTGTAGAAAGTCACAGTGCCTTAAGCTATAAAAACCTTAATACCTTAATCTCTATACCAGTATTTCATGAATGTAACTCTCCCTCTAAGTACATGTCACTGCCTATCAGATGTATTTGTTTATATGAACAGTAGAGGGTGTCATTGAATAAAATTTCAGGGTCCCTTTGTGAGTGATTTCCTGCTGAACAAGCTAGACTGCTCTCTGTTGTGTACCCTGTTTTCATAAACCGTCACTTAGTCTAAATTACTTTAATTGTTTTTCAAAGGAAGATATCTTCCTGACTCATGTGATACAGTGTTATGTAACTGCCACATTCTGTAACATATTAAGAGAAGAGATGAGTAAGAGCAAAAAGGTGGTGGTATGTACTCCACACCTTAAAAGTGTCATCACTGTTACTGTTAAGACAGCGTAACAGGATTTGCAGCAGACTACACGGTCTCCTTTGAAACCTGCACCTCATGTTAGGTTGTCAGACCGATCTATAAACCAGAATATTTATTGTTTTATTATTCTTTTCTGCATGAAAGGCCAAAGTAAAAAACATATGCCTCGTTAGAGAAATTTGCACAATACTCCAATACAATACATACTTTCATACAGTGAGTCGGTGAAGTTTGTGACATACTCTATCCCCACTGAAACTGTGCTGAGTGTCTAAATCTTCTTTGCTGCTGAGATGGAAATGTGTACAGAGCAGACACTTTAGAATCTCTAGCTTCTTTGTAGCAGTATCCATATTTGAAGCATTGTCTGCTTTGTGTTATATTAGAACCACTTCTTTTGGCTGATAATAACACACCTAACACATCTGTTCATTTCTTCCAAAGTCTTCATTCTACTACATTCTACTACTACTTATATAATAAGCCTGTGGTAATGATTCTTTTCAAATTGAAAATGTCATGATAGAGGGCAGTTTGTTCATGCATTGTGTGTGTGTGTGTGTGTGTTAACTGCAGTTTCTGTCCCTCAGGAAACAGCTGGTGGAGCTGGAGGAAGCCCACATGCTGCGAGGGGAGCTGTCTGCTGCGCAGCAACTTGCCCTTCTCAGCAGTTACGATGACCTGTCTCAGGCACTGGATGGAGCCTTCTTTGTGCAGGTAACACAGACCGCTGACAGCACAAATACATGCTGTTATATCTCGTTGGCCTAAATCGTAAAACCAATGGAAACAACATTGCTCTCTGGTGATTTGTTTATTTTTTCGTTAACCACTTGCTCCATCACACACGTACGGACATTTGTTTTGTGGATGTTGGCAGACTTTGATGAGACACGGGGCTTCTCTTCACTGTGGCGTGGGTCTTTTCAAAAGTATGTGGTGTGTGACTCAGTGGAAACACTGTAGTTTTTGTTCATTTATTGGTTCACATAGTTTAAACAAAGCAGCGTTAAAGGAATGGTTATTACACTCTCAGGTCAATACGTTCTGGCTTTGTTATTACACATTTACCCCCCAAGGAGGTGCAGCATAATTTCATTTGACATATTCCGTGACATTCTCACGTCACATTTTGAACTTAGGGTTGTGATATCATACAGTAATATGGAGATGTTTTGCATAATAACACTTCAGTTCCTTCAGTTGCTTAACACGTGGATTCCAAACTTTTTTGTTTCTCTTCATTTACTCGGATAGCTTCATAGTATATCAGTGGTCAGTACATTACTGAGCAAAAAAACTAATGCATTTACTTGTCCTTATGGGTAAATGTGATTGCATTGTGATTTCAGAGTCACCTGAGATTTGTATAAACCACATAAAAATAACTGTATCAACATAAGACACAAAGCACACACTGTATACGGACACCTTTACTCTTCTTCTTGGATCTTAAGGATGACTGTGGCCAGAACAGTTAGGCAACCTGTGTGTTGCTTGTGTTCGGACGTTTGATGGATTGGGGAGTAAAAGACAGTTTGGACCTGTTTTATGGGGAAACATTAGCACCATGCAGGTTTTAGTAGTTCAGTGGAGGAGTCAAATCCTCATATCACTCACAGTATTTGCCTTGCTCCATAAATAGTCCCGATAAATGCTTGCTGAGCTTGGTAATGAGGTTCCCAACATCTTACTAGAAATTGTTACTGTCCTTCTAATTGCTTGTTTTTCTGCACCTCAGAAGCATTTTAGAATCCACCTTAAAGGATAAAATGTCCTCAAAAATATGTTCTGTGCTGTCTCTCACTACACAAGCAGTCAGTCCAAGAGTTGCATTTCAGTCTGCCAGCAAACATAACTCCAAGGTACTTGTATTCAGACGACTCTCCACTAATAAAGGTGGGCAAGGATGATGGTAGATTTTGAAAGTGAGACTGGCTGGCCCTCTCTCAGCATGGAGAACACTGAGCCTCTATATAGAGGCACAGCTAGGAGGAGGAGAAGATGATGATTATGATGGTTGTTATGAGGTCAAGCCCTCTGAGCAGCTACTGTCAGTCCATCAGTGTGTGAACTGATTCTAATGGCAGCATGCACATATAGAGTACATGTCTGTCATAAAGGAGGTAAAACCGAGGTATAAATTTTTAACTCTAGGAATGCTGAATATAATGAACCTATCAAAAAATGAGTACTGAGAGTTCACACTAGTTTCTCTCTTTATTTGCGGTTCAGTAGCAAGGAATGTTTTACCGTTTGTTAAGCAACTCGTTTAACCTGATGGCTAAGTGGTTAGGGGACATATCACACACTCGTTCATGCTTTTAGCTACAAATTCATGGTTGGACACCAAGCGGGCTGGTTCTTTGCTGCGTGTCATTTCCCTGCGCTGCTAACTCACACTTTCTGTCTGTCACCAAAGGCAAAGTCATAGAAATATAATGGCTTAATATAACTGCAATAAAGGAATATGAACTGAGTGATATCGATTACTCATTTAAAAATAGCCCAGAATTAATCTGTTATTTATTACAGATTTAGTTGTTTACCTTGAATCAGAGCAGCTTTCTCAATGTGACCATAAGAATTTACCCATTTGGCCAAAGTAAAATGCTTTCTAAAAACCTTGAACATTTCAGAACTCATACTTTTCATAATCTGTTGAGTTTTCCTCTTTCCTCCTGCATTGTTTGTCTTTGTTGCGTCACCATGCTCAACTCAGCCAGTCGAGTCTGATGGATATGCTCCCTGAGCCTTACTGTCAAAAAGAGACTTTTGATTTGTTTTTTTCTTTTTTTTATTTCTGTAAAAATGTGCTTGAAGGAAATTATTGAGACATCTACCATACAATGCAAAATGCTTCTAGATTCTTGCTGTTATTGCTATTATAAATTGTAACGTGGAGCTTTTCTTTGACAAAAAAGTCAGATGGAGTTTGTTATAAGAAGTGTTGTCATACTAATGAAAGACGTTTCATTAAAAATCACTCATCTATGTCAAATTATAAATGAGCACAAACACACAATCAACATTGGACACTGTGCTTATCTAAACACAGTCACAGTCACTTAAAATACAGTATGAAGTCAACCTTTTATGCCAGAAAAATGCTCGCCAGCTAGAAACTGCTAAAGTAGACAATGGAGCTCTTCTTCACAGTAGATGTGATCAGAGTGCACAGAGGCAGGTAGAGTCAAATAAAATCAATACTCACTGCGCTGAGTTCCTTCCAACAAGGAACAATTGTGGACTCAGGAACAGGGAAATGCTGCATAGAAATATGCAGTTTCCCGAGAGCACCGTTAGGTACATACGTCCTGATAGCATGACATCATCTGACCACCTGTAAGTTTCACTCTACTATTGATCTGGGAGAAGATGAGAATATTTACGGGAGGCTTTATTAGTCACTTGGCTACAGATCAGTAACTTGCCTAACTGTTTTTTGACGATTAGTGTAAGGCTTGGTGAAACAGGGGGAGCAGACCTGAAGGGTGCTTAAGTACTTAAGCTGTCCAGATTTCTTTATATGTCCCTTTCATGCACAGAAATAGGTTAGTGTGGCTTGTTTACAATGAAGTTTGGCCAGAACTGAAGAAAACTTGAGCTTTGAGAAAGATGCAAAACTGGAGACAAATGATAATGGGAATAGTCCAACTTACAGATGACTAGAAAGAGCTACTTTTGGCTGCTCCCTTATTCCCAAAGGTTTCATGAGAGGAGGTAGTTCTTCATGTTTGATTTAGCAGATTTTTACACCAGATGCTATTCCTGCCACAACGCCACAGGGATTTGTGTCTCTGTTAGGGGTCATACTGGAGGTCTTTTCCACATCAGGAAATGCCAAGTATTCACTTATTGGTGTTTCTTATTAGTATAAGTTAACATTTACACACATGAGCTTTTAAAATCATATATCTTCCAATCTTCCCCATCCTTTATGTCATTCATAGCCAGAAAGACCAAGAGCCTAAAGGGCATGGACTGGTTTAGCAGTTTCTGGGTCCAAACCAGGGAAGGCTTGGTTCTATCTAAAAGAGAGCTGACAAACATAAAAATGATCAAGTAGACATCTTATAACTGTACTTGTTTTGTGAGACTGAGTTTGTGGTGTCATGTTACGTTGGCAGCTCAAACAACACAGTTACAGTAAACAGGGTTTATCCAATTGCCACACAATCCAGTAAAAAGACAAGGAAGTTATGGGGCCTCCTGGTGACAGTTGAAAACAAAAAAAAAAAAACAAAAAAAACCAACACATTTCTGTTTACATTGGTTTAGCTTAGATGGAATAAGTAAACAGTATTAGATTCCTGTGAATCAGCATCCCAGTGAGCCTGCCATGACCATCCATTCTATTTAAGGAAACTGAGGTTTGAGGCCTGTGCTGTTCCTAGGACTCAACTCTTCTGTTAAAAGACTCTGATGTTGTGCCTGGAATCTGCTGGGGCCACTCTTTCAGTTTTGGGGTTACACCTCCCAACTCCTGTTGCCACTGGGACCACTTTGGACTAAAAAACAAACTAAAAAAACTAATATTGTCATTAGAATTAGTGTAGATTAGGTTATTGCTTGTGTTTTAGCACAAATCCTTTTAGCAGAGCCTTTCATTATAATGCAAATATGTGAGGTATAGTGAGGTTGTTCAGCCAGTTTTTGCAGTTTTGCGTCCAGGATGAGAAAGATTGCAAATGAAGAGTACCGGTTTTCAACACTGTGAAGTGACGTTAAGCAGGTAGTTTAAGAGCCAAACTGGTTTAATTTTAGTGTTTAAGATGTTAACTGCATGACTTTTAACACATTTCCCTGAGTACATTCCCCAAAGCTGTGGACAGTGGTAGATTCAAGTTTAACACTAAGAAACAAATATTAAATGTTTCTTTATTGTTATGATGGTTTTGTCTTTGCTATTGTCAAAGAAAGGTTGACATCAGAAATTACAGAGTCAAAGCAGCAGTTCATCCAAATTATAGAAATTAATAGCTGTAATAAATAATTTGATTGTTGCTATGACTACATGTTTCATATTCAGTGGGATGCTTCACTGACTTTGGGTTGAGATAATGTTTACTTATAGCATTATAGAAAATAATATTTGGCTTTCACACCTTACCTGCGTTTATGTATTTTTTGTGTTTTCCCAGGAATGTGTATTTGAGCAGCTGGAGGTAAAGCAAAGCATCTTCCATGACATGGAGCGTTTTGTGGGAAAAGACGTCATCCTGAGCAGCTCCACGTCCTGCCTAGTGCCCAGCAAAGTCTTTTCTAAAGTCCAGAATAGGAGTCGCTGCCTCGTCTCTCATCCGGTTAGTACTTCATATGCTCAGGCATTTCCAGGTACTGTGGTGTAAACTGTACACAGTGTGTTAACCTGCACGCCAGCCCATAATTCATCATCAGTCATCTACAGCCAGGTCTGTAAGTTTCCTCACAGCGATATGGTGCACAAACTCAGTGAGCTTGAAATGAAGCAATTAAAATGCGGTTAAGGTGTTGATATTGACCAAAAAAATTGCAATAATCATTAAGAATTATTTACTTATTTTGTAATCCCTCCATTTTTACGGGCTCAAAAGTAATTGAGTGTGTAAATCATGAGCCCATTCATTGCCGCGTGACTTGTTTTATGATTATGTTATGACAAATTAAGGAGATAAAAGGAATAGAGTTGAGTCCAAGTGTTGAATGAGTATGTGGTTGATGCTCAGTGGTGCTGTCAGTAAGGAGTCCAAAGACATGTCGATGCAAGTGAAGGAGGCCATCATTAAGTTAATAATCCCACTTTTCAGAGAAAAAGAAAAAGCTTTAAGAGTGGTAAAAAAAACACTCCAATCTTAAACATTTTAAAAAAGAAGAAATCCTCTGACCAGCTCTGTAAAACAAAGCTCTGAAAGAACATGTAAAAAACTTCAAGGGATGATGACAGAATTTTTTCCATGATTAAGACAAAAACTTTCACACAACTAGCTAAGGCAAGAAAAAATCTCAAGGACGTAGGTGTATCTTTGTCAAAATCAAGAGCGGCCTTAATGAATGTAAATACAGTGGATTCACAGCAAGAGATAATGAAAAACCACTGTTTATGCTCAAGAAGACCACTTTAAACTTTGCCTAATAGTCTCTAATAAAGCCAGACTAGTTCTAGAAAAAGATTCTTTGAACCGATAAAACCAAGATTAACTAGTAGAAGAACAAAGGGAAGTGCATGAGGAAGGGAAGGCACAAATCACGATCCACACCATACCACATGATCTGGCAGGCATGGTGAAGGCCTGTGAATGCAAGCTACCGATTATTTCACAGTGGAACAAGTTAAATTTCAATAAAGAGATAAACAAAGAGATCTAGTTCGGTTGAATATCAGATTGGCAAAATCCAATTCACAAGGGATCACTCTGCATTTCTGATGAAACAGAGAAACTGAACAAACTTAATTACAAGTGGAGATGTAGCACAATACAGGATTTTTCAGCAATAATCAACATTTTGAATGATCAATGCCAAATATAAGGTCAGTTTTAGAATTCAGATTTAAAATGGCACAAAATCACAACAACAGTCACATCAATACACTTTGAAAACCTCAACAATAAGGCAACCCTATATGAGCAAGCACCTGGCGACAGTGGGAAGGAAAAACACCCTTTTAACAGAAAACAACCTCATGCAGAACCAGGCTCAGGGAGGAAGACACACTATAGAAGAAAGCCAAGTGAGCTGACAGCCATGAACTACATAAACCACACAGGGTCAAGTGTGTGTTGACTGTCTGATAAATAGATTACCTTCACAGGGGTCAGGATCATGACAGAAAAGAGGGAGAAGTTTGCGAACAAGGTTTGATTACTGAAGAGAAGCAGGAAAATGATGAGAGTTTGAGACAGAGAAAAAACACTTCTGAACTGGGACATGGAGGGATTTCATTATGGAAAAATGTGTGTAATTCCTAAATGGTTATGACAGTATTTTTATTAGCCTTGTGACATCTGACTTGTGATTGGTGACGAGGCTAACTCTGATTCTGTGTTTGGGAGAAAAACAAGAAGAACTTTCTTGTTGGAAAAAAGAAAATAGTTTTTTTATGTGTGTCAGTTAAAATTATTTAGTTTGTTTCCTGATTGCCAAGAGAATAATTTGGAGAACAATAAAAAGAAAACATACTTTCACAACAAAGGCTTGGGATCAGGATAATTACTAGTGAAGAGTTAGACCTCACAGTTTTGAAATCCCTTCACCTGAAGCTGAAAGTCTAGACTTCAGTCACACCTTCTTGTGCTCCCATACTGAGGCAGATTTATGAGTTTCCATTGAAGTACTAATGGATCTGGTAATATTTACAGGCTATCCCAACCGCAATCAATCAATCAATCAATGTAAATGCACCACAACAAATTTTGCTTGCAGTATACTATGAATAGCCAAACACATTAATGGGTCAGAACAGCTGAGCACTTTTGTTTATACAAAACATTGCACAAAGATTACATTAGACTTGCATTTAGCTTATCCATGCAGAGTGTTTCTGTTTAGACTTGACCGTACTCCACAACATACTAGTGACATCTGTTTACAAAAACATTGAGTGCTTTTGTTATGACTGGTTTATGATATGAGCATATGCCAAATTTTTCTAAGAATGTTTTGAATTTTTAAAATTCTTGATAAATTTTTACACATTACTTTCTGTATGTTACAATGCACACCACACTTGTAAGTAGTTGTAAGGCTTTTTGTCAATTTTCAACCAATAAATCATTGAGTTGACCTTGAAGAGTTTGGTGGATGAAAGCCACATTTCAATGAATTGTTAACCCCACTCTAAACCCCTACAAAGTTTTCAGAATACATTCAAAACCTTTCAAGCCGTCATGCGCACAGACAGAATGACACTCACAAACGCTACCAAAAACATGACCTAACTGATGGAGGTAAACATGGTTCACCTGAACTCATGAGCCAGATGGACTTGTTTATAATTTTTATCTTCTAGCTGTTTCTCTCCCTGCGTTTCTTCTGCTTGCTCATGTGCTGTGGCAATGATGTTTTGAGGATATCAGTAAATCAAGCATGTATATCATGAGCTTTTCTAAATCATCAGTGGTGGAACTGTATCACTGTAGATGGAGGGACTGCCCTTTGGGAATATTGGTGTTAATTTGGTGTAGATGATTGCCTTCAGTGTATAAACAGCCTGTTATGATCATGGGGCAGTATAAACAGTGTTCTTTTTGTCTCTCTAGATTGGAAAATATGAAAGCTGATTGTTTTGGGGTTGCTTTGAGCCAAAAAAAGTAACGGATTCCTAAAATTTCTATAAAGACGAGTGGTCCAAAATCCCTCCTGAGATGTGTGCAAACCTGGTGACCAACCACACAAAACCTCTTACCACTGTACTTGCTAAGAAGGGCTGGCTAGTTCTAAGTCATGTTTTGCTTGGGGATCAAGTTTTTATTTCACTCAATGACATTCGACATTCAAATAAATTTACAATTTTTGTGTAAATTGAGCATTAAAAACAAACATAAAAATTAGAGATTGTTCAGTTTGCTATACGTGAGTAAACATGATATGCCCATCTTTAGACTAACTAGCGAGGTGGCTGCTTTTTAAATAACTTGTTATCATTGCCTAAAACAAGCTGGTGGTAAATGGAAGCAGCCAAACACATAGACTTTCTAGATATTTAAACTATGCAAACAGGTGGTTTGATGAAGCACTTTTGTTTCTGTAAATGCTGACTTTAAGAAAAAAGTGAGGGTCAATTAAAGGTCAGTTTGCTTCACAGGTGGTGGAAGCTGGTGGAAACACCACCACTGGTGTAAACGGGCCCGATGGGGAGCTGTATAACCTATAGTTTACCACCGTACTTAATTTCTGTCTCAATAAACATTTTGCTGTCCTTAATGTGTCTAATCATTATCATCATTTTAGATTGTCAGTCTTAAAGCTGTAATGAGAATAGCGTACACTGTAGTATGCTAACACCGTATCAAAGTGCTCTGTCATGCACTGAGATGATACTTTCACTGTTGGAGGACGATGATGAGGCAAAATCAACAGTTGAGTGTCCAGCTTTGTTTGTTACTACTGCTTTCCTGAGGAAGTGTTACTTAAGAACAGATCCTACATATCAGTGAAGTAAACACAACATAATATGTGTTCGTTTTGCTCTCCCCAGGTAAACCCACCCTACTATGTAAAACTGGTGGAGCTGGTACCTCACCCAGAGACAGCAGCAGCCGTTATGGACACCACCCATGCTCTGATGACCAAGGTACAAATCTTACGCAAAAGATTACACATTTCTGGGCCCTGTTATGCCCGAACTTGTTGGACAGATTTCAAAAGAAATCAGAATAACCAGTGAATTAAGAGCACGAGGAAGCCAAACCCCATGCTATGATTAGGAGACCAATACTGTTGTCATACTATGTATTATGTATGTATGTGCTGGTGATAAGCCTAGCTCCTAGCTTTCTTTTCACATTAGTTTGACGTTGTTCTGGCCATTTTCAGTATTTGACAGTGTGTCACAGTCTTGAGTACAGCTGCTACACCACAAATCTTAACAAACAGTTTGTGATCATGTGAATGATTACGTACTTTATTCCAAGCAAGTCTCAACAAGCTTGTTTTCTTAACATGAACAACCAGTGGCTTCCTGCAACTACTAAGCTTCATGAATGAAGCTGTATTATTCATAATTGTCTTGTAGGATCTTTTGCTGCGCTTGGCTTGTCTTAACTGATTTCTCCTGACGCAGGTTGGCCAGGCACCTGTCCTTCTGAAAAAAGAGATCGATGGCTTTGCCCTAAACAGAGTTCAAGCCGCCATTATTGCAGAGTCATGGAGACTAGTTCAGGTTAGTGTTTTCTGGGCATCTGGGTGGGGAGTTGTGTTGAGGAGCCAGTTTTTCAAAGCACTACCAACTTCGAGCAATGTTAGTCATGAATATGCTTTCATAACCTTTGTGTTCAAATGCAAGAAAATGGTCATTAATATATGACACTAACTGAATCTCCAACAAAAAACCCCACATTGCTTTACTGCTGCATTGCTAAAGCTGACTTCTAGGTCATAATGACGAGTGTTTTACTTGTTTTTACCTCTGGACAAGAGCGCCTCAGTCTCAGTCAGGTTTCATGTGGCTGCTGATGGTTTTGTAATAGAGGCAGGAAAGAGGAAGCCCTTGTCAGCTCACCTCTTCTATTATGTCCACAGTCTCCCTCTAAAAAGGAGCACAATGAGACTAAATGAGCTTTAGCCTCTGATGACAGGCACTATTACGTGGTCACTCACTGAGGAAAAAGCTTGAATGATAATGAGAGCGATGGGAATGGTGACAATCACGGCTGATGGAATGTTAACCTGAGACGTATACTATGTTACCCGAACTGAATTCCCATGAAGAGTTTGATGTTGGCTTCAAATATAGAACCACAGACATCAGAAGCACCTTAAATGACCCCCTCCATTAAATAATGCAACATCAGATGCTTCCACATAGTTCTGAACTTTCACACATCTTCCACGATTGTCTGTGTTCCAAGTTTCTCGCTTTTGTTTTTTATGTCAGTGACTGTTGTTGTAGTAAAGGACTGAATCTGTACTTAGATTTATATAGTGCCTTTCCAGTCTTACTCAAAGCACTTCATTCTTTGCACTTCAACTACTTTTATCTTCCTCTCTTTCAAGGCCAAGTTAGAATCACCAGTCAACCTAACATGTATGTCGTTAGACTGTTGGAGGAAATCAGAGTACCTGACAGATGCCCACGCAGCCACAGCGATGATGACAGGGGGGTGCTAACCACTACACCACCATGCCACCCATGGCTGAAGTGACAAAATAAAACTACATTTCCCAGGGTAGATGATTTAGGTTTAAAGGCCAATTAGATATTTACATAAAAACTGTTTTCTAGTAAAGTAAAAGCAGCTGAAGCAGGCCCGCATCAGCTAGAAAACGATGATGTCAGACAGTGTTTGAGCTGAGGAACTTAAAAAAGATGCACATCAGTCATCTTGTGTTAGATCCATTAATGCAACTAAATGCAATTCAGGCTTTCACTCAAAGTGATACATGAATGACATTAGAAGCGACTTCCTAAGATAGCTGTTGGGACATGTTAAGCTGTCATCAATGGAAACCAGTGGAAATTAACCGCCGCTCTGCATTGTTGCTCACAGACCTGTTCCTGACAGGTGAGTGGGCAGCATTAGCATAGATTTAAAGCTACAAACCCATTAGGAGATAATACCAGGAGATATGGCAGTAGTTACTCAACTGGTTGCAACTAAAATAAAAATGAGTTGCCATACAGCTGAAATGGGAAAAAGGAAACTGGATAATCACATTTTGCTTTATAATAGCAGAGGATTGGATGGATTATTAAAAAGTTGGCTCAGAAAGAGCAGAAATCTATTTTAAGTTACTTGCGTGACTTTGCACATGATTCAGATTTGTACACTTGAGAAAGACGTCTCTATGACATTAATGAAGGATAAATGCATTAGGAAAAATGTCTTCTTTAGTAAATTAGTAGGACTGATCTGTCTTGTGCATTTGTGTGCTCGAAAAACATCAGTTGATTGCACAGTTTACTGGTAACGTAGATGAAAAAGTGTGTGCTTGTTTCTTTTGATTCTGCACGAAATTGGCTTCGTTTTATGTTGTTGCCAGATACTACCAGTTATTTGAATGGGTACACTAAAAGTCTGTGCAAGACTGAATTGATTGATTGATTGCCTTTATTTGTCACTTGCAGTTGACCTGCAGCGAAATTGGACCTTTCCAACCATACATACAATACACAAACATCACATTGGGGAGACAGGTCAGAAAAGGCAGCATAAAGAAAACAATGAAATGCATAACACAAAAGGGCAGTCGAGAAGGAAAAAGAAAATGTATCCGGGACGCCGCAACTCTGCGCATCCAAAGCTGATCCGCCGTCTGCATCGGATGGGAGGTGTTGGATTCGTGGAGGGGGGGTGTGAGTGTGTATCTGTGTCAGTGTACATGTGTGCATGCGTGTGAGGATGTGTGTCCTGTGTTCAGCCTTCAGAAAGTGTCGTTTTGCCCAATTAAGCAAATATAAACAGTCCACAGCCTACGCAGATGGCCTTGAGGAATCTGGGCGAGAGAGTCAGGGTAGAATTTTTTGTTGTTCTTGTCAGCATCGGCCTTCAAGTATCCAGCTGGCGCCGCTGGGAGGGGGGGGAGCAGGTCTTAATGTCCATTACTGGTCCGGAGGTGTATCAATTTCCCGTTGAAGAGCCGTGAGCTTCTCCAAGACCTTTCACATATTGCTTCCATAGGAACAGTCTGAGTACCTACAGCCCTCCCCATCGCTTCAATCATAGCGGCTAGCCTTGTGGGGTTTTGAAAAGATGTAACCGCTTTCTTCAATTTCCGATAAGCCAGGGCTATGCCAGCTCCGATCAGCAAGAACCCCGTTCTCACGGTTCAGAATAGGTAGATGTCTTCAGTGTCCTCAATAAACAGTCCCGCCAGGCACACGACGTGCCACTTCTGCCACCATCCATCATGTATCTGGCAGGAAACGTCCCTCCAGGACACTTGGGCTCTTCCGAACCCAGGCTCCTCATCGAGCAGAGACTGTCAATTGCATTAAGAGACCAGTTGATCAAATCTGTAATTCTTCTTAAGGTTTTAGAGAACAAGAACGAGACTCTCTGAGGGTTAGAGTTAGACAAGACTAGACAGGGACATAGAAGCTGGTCAGGGGTGTAAAAACCAACTTTGTTGTTTCCATAGTAAAAATAAAAATATTGAAGCAGCAGAATCACCAGAGTAGAATAATGATTTGGTGTTGTGGACCAGAGGAATGCGAACAAGCAGTAACAACAGGCTGGCCCACTGCATACTCAGGGTAGCTGTTCCATCTGCACGGTGTGTGCATTCTTTTACGGGTAATTACAGCATTGGTGTAATTTTCCATTTGAGTAACAAATTACATAAAAGCACCTAAAGGTATTGTATCGGTGAGCAGACGTATATGTGACATTTGTTCATATGTGTATACAAGTCATTGTTGCACATACACTAAAGGTAAGTGAAGGATCCCAATTAATAATTTACATCACGATCAAAAAAATAATCAGATAACCACTTGGTAAATTTGCCTTGTTTATAGAAAAATTATCAGTATGTTGAAATCCCAGCTATAGCTAACCTCACAGAGCAGATTTTTAGATCCCATGTTTTGGGCGTTGTGCTATTACTATGTTTATTTGTCATTTTTGAGGTTTTACATATCAGGAAGAGAAGCAGGCTTCATGATTTGCCTCACAACAGAGCTCGTTGTTTGTCACAGCTTTAGACTTTGAGAAGCTCTTAAGTGTTTGGATTGTTTTTCTTGCTTTGACGGTAGCTTTTTGGTTCAGCAATGATCCAAGAGGGCCTGCAGGCAGGTAAAAACCCTTGATTGTTCAGTCATTTTTAAGCCCAATACCGTGACACTCCCTGCTGAGAATAACGTATTCTCAGAATTAAAACCTCCAAGTCATACTTCCACGAAATGCAGCAGAAGCCACTCTCGTGCGTCTGTGCCAGCTGTATTGCAACATCTGTAACAAAGCATGTGAAATTCATAATTTTACACAGAACTGTGGCAGCTCAGACTTGTATCTAAATGATATTCTTTATTGTATGCACATCACCACCGTGTGAGAGGCGAATTCCCCGCCTCCCCACCCCAAGGGCACCCTTAGACCTTAGCCGACAAAAATGCCACACTGCTGTTAAAGATGTTGCTCTATGGAGGCCTATCTCCCCCCACCACTCCCCCTGCCAGTGGCTGACACCCTCAGACATTGGTGCATTTTTGGTTCTTGGTGTCCGGGGCTGCGCGCTCAGGTATGCCCCGGCTCACCCCCGGTGGCTGCTTGTCAGGGCCTGGCGCCTGTGGGTCGGTCGGGCCCCTTTGGGGGGTGGGGTGCCCTTGGCCTCTGGGCCTGGGACTCGGTCCACTCTGGCACAGCTGGATGCCGGCGGAGCTCATGGGTGCGTTACTGCAACCCCCTCTGGCTTCTGCTCTGCGGCTGCTGGGTGACCCCTCATTTGGGGCTCTCCTCAGCTCTTTCTGGGATAGTGGCACGGTTGCCCCTCTGTTGGTTTTCCTTGGACTCTTGCGCTCTGAGGGTCTCTGGATCTCTGGAGCCTGGATCTCCTCCATACCCGCTTCATGCCCTGGAGGACGGGGCTGTGGCTCCCCACACCCTCTAGCAGATTGTTACATGAAGGAACCTTTTAAATACAAGCGTGTTCATGCTCACAGGTTTACACACGGGTGCTCACACACACAAACTACACCCTTTTTGGCTGCTACCTCAAAGCACACAGCGCGCTGTCGATCTTACATGCTGCACAATAATATCCAATATTTAGTATTTAATGTTATATACACATAGATTATCGCGATGATGTTGTTTATTATATTGCTCTCTTTCTTGCTTGTTTTCTTTTCTTTTTTCTCTCTCAACAGGTGATCCAGGTGATTGATATATATATATGTATGTATTTTTTGTCCCCCCACCTCTTTTTTGTTTTGTGCCTTTTATCACCATTGATTTTTATCCCGGCTGTTTTTCTTTCCCTCCCTCTCTTTCTTTCTCCCTTTCCCTTTCCCCAGTCATGTCTGTCCCATATGTAACAACTGAAAATAAAATAAAATGAACAATAAAAACAAAGGTCAATCAAATGGACCGATACGGCAAGGCCGGGATGGTCCACGTGGTAAAGTAAATCTGTTGGGCATCTTTCTTTGCCTTTAGACAATAATTCTGATGGCAAAAGAACCAAACGGGACAGGCGTGAAAAAAAAAAAGGTGTTGCTCT